TTTTTAAAGGAGAGTGATGAAAAAAAAAAATTTTTAAAGTGAGGTACGAGAAAAAAAAAATTTTTTTTAAAAGGGAGATGACGAAAAAAGAAGAAAAATTTAGAAAAAATAACAAAAATAAGACGAGAGAAAAGAGAAGGAAGGGGAAAGACAGAAAGGAAGATCGGAAGATCAAACTCATCAAAGTAAGGGTTTATATAAAAACAAAAAACGTATCATAACAAAACAATAAACAATCACGTGATCTCGTGTTATGATACGAGATTTTTGTAAAATTATTTTCTAAAAATATTAAGTTTAAAAATTCCGTATACATTCCGTATGATTGATTTTTTCCGTATACATTAGTTTTTTAAAAAATGTTCAAAAATGAATTGCTTATTAAATATACGGAATTTGTATACGGAATCTATAGAAACGTACATAAAATGTATACAAAACGTATCCTTTCCGTATACATATTTCTTATAGGGCATACGCTATCGTCAGCAAACTAATGATAAAAATTCAATGACTTTTCAAATGCAAATTTATAAAAATTATTTTTATATATAATATCATTTGAAATATACCGGTATATGTTAAAATAATATTTACTAGATTATTTGTAATATTGTTAAGAAACTATGACTAATACATATCCTCTTCTTGGAATAAAGGACATAAACAATTTTTATATAATGTAAATATATAATGTAAATAATCTTTTTTTTCATTTGTTTTCAATTGCTGGTAATTTTTCTACCAAAATATGACTTTCATTTCCATTTCACTTTGTTTCTTGAAAATTTGCCTCCATTGTTCTTGATTTCCTCATAAAATGTCAAGTAGTTGGGTTCACAATCAATTATTAAGCAACTATACTTACTTATATTTTGTTCTATTTAAAGATATTATTCAATTTCAGTAAATATTTGTATGTTATTGTACAGGAGTGCTTAATAATGATCTGATGTGGAGCGAAGCGCCACATCATACCCCGCCTGTACAATAACATATGATCATCAAAGTTTATTGCTTGTAATTTCTAGTAACTTAATATCAAATTTCCATTATTTTTTGAAATTAATTTATTGACATAATTATTATAATTCATGTGTTGACAAGTATATCATTCAAGGAAGAAACATCATTAGATATCTTGTTATAGGGATTAAGAGTACAAAGTATTAATAATAAAAGAGCGAAAGAATTATCGCAAACTTGAATGTAACAATCATAATTTGTTTATGATGATGTTTGATACAGCTGATACAGTTATAATAAGATTTTTAATACTTGGCTTGTGCATATTTAGTAATTTATTTTTAATTACATAATTTTTTATTTTCTTTCATAAAATACTATGTTAACATAATGAATATTCTTTATTTCGATTTTATATTCATATTTAAACAATATTAGCTATGCTCAAAAATATAAAAGAATTAAAATAAAAATATCAACTAAATTTACTTATTAATTAGGGTTTAGTTCAGAAATTCAACGGAAGATTATTTCTGGAACTTTTATTTTAAATTTGATTTAATTTTACAAACGCCTGTTACTTTCATCAATAACTAATATAAACTATAATAAAAAAAAATTTTAAAGTTATAAAATTTTGGAAAATGTCTCGTGAATCGTGATACCGTTAATGCAGATCAATGAATCGGAAAAAATACGGCCCGAAAAAAAAAAAATCAAATGATCATTTGAATTGTACAATAATCGGAGTAATTTCCGCTTTTGATTTAAAGTAGCCTTTTTTAGTAACTCATTATAAATATAAAAAAAAAAAAATATTTCGTCTAAAAAAAAAGATAATTGGATTTTTCTTTTTTTAAATACTGTATATTACGAAAATAACCTAATGGGAACCGAACATAGTAAATTAAAAATCTCAGATAATCATAAAAATTGTTCGTATTGTAATAAACCCCTTACTGAAGAATTATGGTGTAAAGAATGTGACCCATTTAGAATAATGGAAGGATGTACCAGTGGAAATTCTGTTATTGATAAGTTTATAAAAGATACAATGTATGATACAATGTATAATGCAAAAATTAAATCAATTTATAACAACAATAAATTTCTTGAATGGGTACCATTTGATAGATTTACAGATATAAAAGAAATTGGTGAAGGTGGATTTGCCAAAGTATATTGTGCAACTTGGATTGATGGCAAATCAGAGTACTATGAAAATGATGATGGAAGTTGGAAAAAAAGAGAAACCGAATCTATAGAAGTTGCTTTAAAAAGGTTAAATGGATCACAGAATATCTCGGATAAATATTTAAATGAAGTACGTTTTTATACTATTTTGTATCTTGTTTAATTTATTTCATTTAGGTGTTTAATATTAATAATCATTTAAATTATTTTATTTTAACTTTATTAAAATATAGCTTAAAATACATTGGGAAATTTCTAATAGAGGTGGATTAGAATTTCATGGATTAACTAAACACCCGGAAACTAAAGAATTTATGATGATTATGCGATTTGCTGGTGAAGGAAGTTTGAGAAGTAGTCTTTCAAATAACTTTAACAACACTATGTGGAAAAATAAAATTATCTATTTGTATACTATATTATATGACTTAAATTCATTACATGAATTAGAATATTGCCATAAAGATTTTCATAGTGGTAATATTTTACAAATTAATAATACCCCTTATGTTTCAGACTTTGGATTATCAGGACCAGCAAATAAACAAAAATCAGATGATAAAGTAGTATATGGAGTAATGCCATATATTGCACCAGAAGTCTTAAACGGAGAATCATATACAAAATCATCCGATATTTATAGTGTAGGTGTAATTATGGCCGAATTATCATCAGGAAGACCACCTTTTCACAATAATAAGCATGATTTTAACTTATCATTAGCCATATGTAATGGACTCAGACCAGAATTTGGAAAAGGAACTCCTGAATTTTATAAGAAATTAGCTTATAAATGCATGAATGCCAATCCAAATGAAAGACCAACAGCCGAAGAATTAAAATATATATTTGATTTTTGGATTGTCTCTATTGAAGATAGGAATAATGGAATAGAAAAATTCGGTTATAAAGGAAAAGAAATTAAAGCGGCATTTGAAGAAGCTGATAAGGAAATACCAAATATCTCACCTTCATATGAAAAGAATTCAGATGCTGTATATACTAGTAGAGCGTTTACATTTAGTAATTTATTACCAAAACCCGTTAATTCATCCATTATTACTTCATATGTTAATAATGAAGGTATTTTCTATTTTTAAACATTTTTATTTTTTTAAATAATTGATAATCATTAACTTTTTATTGTTTTAATAGTTTGCGACTCTCAATTAATCGACTTGGAAGTATCTAATTCAATAGAATTAAGAGGTACATTAAATATAATTTACCACTTATTTTTATACATTTAATTATACTAATAATATTTATATTATTATTTATATTGCTGATATTTAGATACCGACGATGAAAACAAGGTTGATAATCAAGTGAATTAAATATAATTTATTTATAAGCTATAGTATAATTGGTAGCTTAAATAACTTTAAAATCATGTAAGCTTATGATAAATTAAGTAACTTAAAACTTATGTTTAAAGTTTATATATAATTATTATTTGTAAAATTCCGTTTCTAGAAATAAAATTTCCTTGAATTTCAAAATTTATCAATTTATTTGAACGTAAATGTTTTTGATATTGACGTAGTTTAAGGTTTAATTTTCAAAGTAAAAAAAATTTTATAAACGTAAATCACATGGATCGGAAATTAAAAAATCATCTGAAAAATATTTTCTGAAATCTAACGCTAAGGTTGGGGAAATACTGTATGGAAAGCCGTCCTTGACAAAAGGTTGATATCCAGACATCATGTTGGATAATGTCTAGACATCATGTTTGATATATGTAGAATAATGTTTGTACATCATTCAACATGATGCTCAAGCATCAACCGACATGATGTCTTAGACATCATGTTACCAAATATAGTAAATTTTATTTTGTGTAACTCATAAATATACTATATTTGGTAATTTGATCAGCATGATGTCTAGACACTGTCTCTTATACACATCTAGATGTGTATAAGAGACAGGCATGATGTCTAGACATCATGTCGGTTGATGTCTTTCACATCATGTTAAATAATGTACAAACATCATCCTACATATATCAAACATGATGTCTAAACATTATATTTCATGATGTTTGGACATCAACCTTTTGTCAAGGACGGCTTTCCATAGGAGTGTACATTTAAACGAAGATTTTGCAAAACAATTGATTATCATAAAAAAGTTATTATAATTGTTTTACATAACAAATATTATCCAAGTTTTTATGGGAATTTTCAATACCGAGTTAACGACCGTAATTATTTTTGAACATTTCAACAATAAATTCTAATTCACTAATTAATTTTGCATATTCATGTTAATTAATCTAAAAACATTACTTAATACTTAAACAATTATTGCAACTAAGGAATTTAATATCTGAAAAGTATCTTTCGAGGATTCCAAATTGTTGAAATATGTAAAGATGTGTTAATTTTTGTATTTTCATTAATAAAAAGATTGTACTATATTTCAAAATCTTTATTAATGAGATTAATTATCAGTTTTATTTAAATTATTTAAATCTAAATTTCTACTAATTAAATAAAGGTCTTTTTTATACGAGTTTGTTTAAAATTTAAATTTTTTTAATTTATTGTTTCTTGATTCGTCAAAAATTACGTTTAAAAATTTAATTCGCAATTCAATAATAACCGGAAGTGCATTTTACATATTTTATTTGTAATTAAGCAAAGCAGACCCTATCCCATATTATAATAATTTAATTGCCATAATATATAATTTGGCCAGCACTGATTACAAGGAATGAGAGTTCTTAATTGTTGAAAAATACAATATGCCTAAGTATACCCATAATCTACAGCCGACGATTTTAATAGTAAATTCTAATGAAAATGTCTACTTTTGTAATTTCAGCTCTCATTTGAACATGTTTATCATTATGCTATCCTTAATGTTATATATGTTGGATTATAATCTCTAAAAATAGTTTGTACCATTTTAAGGCTTATTTCATAAATGTGACTAGTCTATATTGAGAGGTCATAAATCCTTTTTAGGCTGATTTTTTATATAATTTGAACGCCTCAACAAAACTATTTTTTTCATTATCAAATTCATAATTAAGCGCAAGAAATATGTAGCTATATTTAAACTTTTACCAGAAGCAAACTTATATAAACTTGACGCTTCTTTAAGACTTTTCTTAATGCTATATCCATAATTATAACAGTATCCAAGTTCATTAAATTATTTAATTTACTTGCCTTATTATACTACTCAATAAGCAACGAATCCATCTTCATATTGTCGTATAGTTTGATTATTGGTAAGATTTCCAAAAATTTTATTTGCTATCGGTTCGTATTTTTCTAAAATTTTTGGAAAAGAAAAACCTTTTGACCATCCAATATTATTTCTTTTTAAATAAGCATCAATTATTTCATCTGTAGCGTTAATTACTGTATATTTTCTCTTTAATGCTTGTAAATTTTGGGCGTAAGAAATGATGGTAATTCACCTAATGAATGATATATATAAACATTAATAATATATTTTCAATAGATTTTTTTAAAAAAAATAAACAAACCAAATATACTTACCTATGGATTTTTAAGATATGATAATTAAGATTGATTTAGATTAACCCGTATAAATAAATTTGAATTGTGCAACGCGTGATTCATCTGATCTATTCCATGCATAAGTAGGAGCATAGTATTTTATTTTATTTTGATAATAGAGAGCTAGAGAAATAATGTTCTCAATTAATTCCTTGCAAATTTCGTTTTAGGTTAAAAAGAACCATTTTTGAAAAATCAATTTTTTTGATGATCGGTAAATGATCATGTGACTTTAAATGAAGACTTCTCAAATCACGTATTGTGCCCTTTTGCTGCGATATTATTTATTAGTTTCCGGTAACTGGAGTTTTACTAATACTAAAAAGTATAAAATTAAATTTTTTTAGTGATAACAATAACTACAATAACTCATATAGTAAAAAATTTTTTTGTAACAATAAGATCGCAATATACACTTTATTCTTTTCATAAAAGTAGTAACTGGTTACAGCTACTAAAAAAAATATTTTACCGTAATTATTTTTTTTATAAAAAAAAATACAATAATAAAATTTTTTTGTATGAATTTACATTTTAATAAAAAAAATTATTTCTATGTATTGACAATTGTCATATAAGCATAAGCATGAGTAGACCGACAAGACCGTCACACTGGCGTCACAGTGATGATGATCATCCTTACACCTAATGTTTACTTACACACAATTAATTGGCATGAATTGTGCGACAATGTCGGACTCCTCATTCCGCCGTTCCGAAAGTTTAAATAATTATGATACACAGATACTTCTCTTTTTTTCTCTTTGTCTACAATATGTCATGTTCAAAAATATTTTCAGGAGATTTGCCCGAATTAATTTATGGGGTCTTAAAATATCTTCAAAATGATTATTCAACTTTACACTCGTGCATTTTAGTTAACAGATTATGGTGTCGTATAGCGATTCCATTATTATGGGAAGATCCATTTTCTATTCCTATCAAAAACTACAATTTTATTATAATTTACTCACATAATTCAAATAGTGATTTTAAAACAAAATTAATTGAATATAAAATTATTGAAAATAATTCATTACCTCCGGATACATTATTCAATTATCCTAGTTTTTTAAAATATTTGAGAATAAATAAAAAGTTTGTTTATTCTGTTCAGAATTGGGTTGAAAATTCTATTAGAACTTCAAACCCAGGAAATTTATCACGCTTATCTGATTTTAAAAAAAAGGTTGATATATTTGTATCATTATTTAAAATATTTATTGAAAATGAAGTAAAATTACATACCCTTGAAATTGAATTCTCAAGTATTGCTTATATTTATACATACCTTAAAAATATTTTGGAGTTAATTTTACAAAATACAAATTTCATCCATAATATTAAAAATATAAATCTTTTTGTTTGTAGTTCATCTGGTTTATTTTCCAACAATAATAATGGATATAAGTTAATTAATAATTATATATTACAAATGATTAATTTACAACAAAATCTTAAAAAGATTTTAATGGATGATACTAGTTTTCCTTTATATCTACCATTATTATTATCAAAAGATTCTAATTGTTCAAATACCTTAAATACAATTACATTCTATAAAATCAATTTGAATTGTTTGAGTAAGAATATATTCGAACAATTAAATGTTTTAGAATCTATTCATTTCCTTTATTGTCATTCTTTAAGTAATAATTTTATTCAAGAAATTAATGATTTGGCTAAACCATTTAAATTGAAATCTTTATTTATAGAAGTGAAACCACAACAATTTGAAACAATGGAATTATTATTACAAAAATCTGGCAATTATTTAGAAAATTTTGGAATTGTACTTAATATTCATGGTTTAATATGTCCATTATATGAACAATTTTTAGTATTAATTACAAACTATTGTAAAAATATCAAATTTTTTGATTTTCGTGGTCCTGAAAGTCTAAGTACTTATCAATTACTCTATTTGGTTGAAAGTATCCAACAAAATCTCAATTATCTTTCAATCGATGTATGGTATGATAATACTGGTTCTAGTAGTTCAACCATATTATTACATTTAGGATCTTACCTTCCTTTTAAACTAGAATATTTATGTTTTGATCTTCATTACATTAAAGCAAGTGAATTTGAAGAATTTCTAAGACAATCTCAACATACTTTTATTAAAAAATTATTAATCAATAGCAATGAAGGTCAAGATATCTTGCCCTCTATAAAAGAATATATCATGAAAAGGAAAAGGGTTAAGTATTTGGCTATTAGTGATTCTTCCCGTGAATATACATTTGGTAGTTATAGTCATAATGTTAAGGAGTTGTTTTCACTGAATTATGAGGTGGATGAATTTAGGTTATATAATATTGAAGTGCAAAGTTATTTGAGTTTAAAGATTGACTCGTATAATTATATAAAGGAAATTAATTAATAGAGATATTCTTTTATATACAGTAAGTTGTTTATAAATTCCTACCTATTCTTTAGTTATATTTATATATTTATGTTTATATACAGTATTTAAAGTATTAACATTCTTTATTTGATATAGTTTTTGTTTAACACTGATTATTAGAATATATTTAACTTATTTTAAATAAAGTTGTTTATTCATTATTGAGATTATCAAGAAATTTTATTATACATATTATACTTTATTGAATAAGTGTCATTATACGTACTTTATTTATGATTTACATCAGTGTTTGGAAATTCAGATTATTTTTACATGCACAGACCGCACATTATTTCATAAAAGTTTTGTATAAAGTCATATATAATAGACGGGTCCATTTCCTAAAAATGAATTTAATATACCATAAAAATAATTAACGCTAATAAATAATTCCGTCCTTGTATATTATTAAGGAGATGTGTTACTACGCTTTTCTACATTGTGCCATTTTAAATTTACAATTGAAAAGAAGAATTACATTAGATTAATTTTGTTAAAAAAAAAGATAAAACAAAACAAAATAAAATAGTGTTAATAAAACTTTGTACTGGTATAAAGGAATCTTTATTTAATTTAGATTCAAATAATACAAACACCTTTATGCTAAATAGTAAGCATTTTAAATTTCAAGTGAATTAGTATGATCATGCAACTTAAAAAATTTACTGTCGATTTCTTTCTTTGTAAATAAAGAATATTTTCTTTTGTTATTAATATTAATAAACTGAACTCTTTTAAAAACTAAGGAAACGGAAACCGTTGTAAGTCAGAGTAAAAAAAAAGATAAACCTAAAATTTGCGATTTCATAAGACGATGACGTGAAGGGACATAGAAATTTACAGGATCGATCATAGTGCAGTGCGTAGATAGTCCTTCTCTTTGTAATCTAATTCATTATTGACGCAAAACAAGTAACAGAGCCATAAGGTTTTATAAACATGACGCAAGATGGCTTTGTTGATTATGATATTTACTTGGGCTGATGTAAATAATTAATTTCAGTCACATCTAAATGATCTAATTTTGTTTAGTACTTTAGTTCAATATCAAATGGTTTAATAAATGATTTGGTCCATTTTCTAAATTTGGAAAATAAAAAAAATTAATTTTTAGTTGACTAATTTTTTTTTAAAATTCATACTTTTATTCAAAACCAAAATTTTTTAATTATTGATTTTTAATGGCTAGTAATAATAATACAAAAAGAGAAACTTGACAATGGCAAAATGAATTAAGAAGGAGAAATTGTGCTAATAAATTAATGAAAATAATGGAATGAATAAAATGGTGAAATAATAATGAAAAGAAAAATAAGAAACAAAGAGAGATGAAAAGAAGAAGAACGAAAGAAGTGAAAAAAATGGAGATGAAAGAACAATGAAAAATAAAAAGATGAAAAACTTAAGAAGTAGCAAGTGAATAATGAAGCCCATAATGATTAAAGATGAAACCCACAAAGATTAAGAAAATAACCACGAAATTTTAAGATCAACCATTAAAGTTTAGAGAGTGAAAAATAGAAATCTATAAATTAAAAATAAAATATAGTTATCATAGTAAGAAATAAGAAAGCAAAGATGAAAGCAAAAAAAAGAAAAGGAAAAAATGACCTACTTTTGACGCAAAACCAGAAGAACTTAGAGATCTAAAAATAAAAGAAAGAGAGAAATTAGAAACGAAAAAGAAAAATATAGAAAAAAATTAGAAACAAAAGTGAAAAAATATTTGATTATCAATTTTGAGGTGATACTAAAAATAGTAAACTATTTTTATCATGGGATAAAGTTTTCTTTGTATAAATTATGTTTAAGGAAATATACGCAGATGACTATCTTGGCGAAATTTTTATGATTCGTAAAAATTTTGCCAACTTATCGTCAATAAATAGTTTCGGAATAACTTCGAATTGTAATAAATTTTGCCGTTACCAAATTATTATGATTTTAAATTAGATGGATGGGTTTTAGATGTAATAAATAATAATTTGAAATATGGAGTTAAATTATTAACATATGCAATTAAAGAACATAAGTTAGAATTACTTGATTACAAGCGAAGCGATGTTACAATTGTTACATGATCTACGTGCCTGATATATTGAATTTTTTCCTGATACAAAATTTTTTTGCCTGATACACGTATTTTTGCCTGATACACGATTCTAAAGTTCAATTGTACTATTAAATTTGTAGCAGAGCAATTTCAATGATAATTTAAACAATTAACAGTTAAATCATTAAATTTTATATTTTTGCATTAAAATAAAATGTTTATTACATGGGTAACAGTGATTGGTGGTAATTCCAGCAAAGTTTATAATTCTGGCCAGATTTAGATTTATAACAAAAATTTTGTGTAAAGTTTATCTGAAACCTCGTGATTTAGAATTTTGTAATTTGGGCCAGCGCTATACAAATCCAAATTACAAGTTATTAAAAATTAAAAATTAACCAATTTATACAAACTAGTTTAAAAAATATATTTTTATAAATTATATGTAAATTATTATGTAAGTTATATCAGTATTATTTAGAATCTTATTATATAATTTAAGAAACAGCAAATCAAAAGAAATATGACATATTAATAAATTTGGGCATAGCAAGTCATATGAAATATTGTAGCACAGAATATGTGTTAAAATATATAAAAATTTCTCATTATAAATCACTTCATTATAAAAATTGGTAACTATAGTCCAATTTACCAAATGTAAAATAATGAATAATATTCTATAAAGTTAAGCATTATTAAATATTAATACAGTTTTATTTTAATAATTAATAATTAAGTAAAGAAAATAATGGGAAATTAGTAATCATGTTTGTAATTATTCATCTTATTGTAAATGTTAATAGTTATGACTCATTATAAGTTATTTTATTGAAAAGAATATAATGGAAAATTAGTAATCAGGGTTTGTAGTTATTCATCTTATTGTAAATAGTAATAGTTAGTATGACTCATTATAAGTTATTTTATTGAAAAAAAGAATATAATGGAAAATTAGTAATCAGGGTTTGTAATTAATTTATCTTATTGTAAATGTTAATAGTTATGATTCATTATAAGTTATTTTATTGAAAAAGAATATAATGGAAAATTAGTAATGTTTGTAATTATTCATCTTATTGTAGATGTTAATAGTTATGACTCATTATAAGTTATTTTAATTGAAAAAGAATATTATGGAAAATTAGTAATCAGGGTTTGTAATTATTTATCTTATTGTAAATATTAATAATTATAACTCATTATAAGTAATAAAATATCAAGTAGATATTAAATATAATGTAAAAATTTCTTATAAATAGGAGTAGTTTTGGACCTTTATAGTCTTATAGAAAGGATACCACCTTATTATTAAACGAAATTTATTTTATTAACTGAAATTTATTTTATTATCAGGAAGATTTATTTTATTATCAGGAAGATACCACCTTATTCTTAACGCGAAATTTATTTTATTATCAGGAATATTAGGTGAGTTATTGTGTTCAATTGAGCTTTAATTGCAATGAAGGCTTTTTTACGATTTAGTTCATGGGTCTGCCCACGTATATATATGTCTAAGGTTTTCCAAATATATATATTTGTCGGGATTCTTTGTGAGTCTAGATGAAATCTGGTATATATGCCTGAGTAAGCGTGGATGAGCGTTCTGATAATAGTCTAGTAATTCAATAACTCATTTATCTGAGTGATCATAGGATAACCTTTTTATTTCTATTTATAGATCATTATTGATTATTTAATTATCTCCAAGTTATTATCATCAAGACCAGGTATTAAGCAAAAGTTTTTATAATCTAACTTCATTAAATTTTTATTTTTTGAATTTTTTGTAATTAGTTTTAACTTTATTATTAAATAAAGAGATAAAAATTATATGATATTAATATTTACAAAATTATTATTTGTTTTTTAATCAATATAATATGTAACTTAAGAATTAGTTAACATAAAGAAATAAAATATTATATTAATATTTACAAAATTATTATTTTTTTAAAAAAAATCAACATGTACCGACGTTGATAATAGAAAGATTATTAAGATTTTTCAATTAAATTAAATGCTGGATAAATTTAGAGATTTCAATTAAATAAGTAAATAATTTAATTAATATTAACGTTACGATAATATTCTGATTTTCAAATTCATAAAAATCAAAAAAAAAAAAAATTGATATTTTTACAATATTTTACAAGAAAGTGTTGATTTAATAATAGATTATTATAACCAATCAAATCCATATCCGAAATTCTCTAAACAATCACCGGATTTTTGAATAAATAAATGGTTTGGTTATATTAATAATTTATTGAGTAAAATTAAGTATCAAAAGAATAATAAATGAAATAAATGAAATGAACAGATTCTAATACATTTTAATTGTTCAAATATTTTTCCTAAGTTGGTTATAACTTTAAGATTGAAATTATAAAATTTATAATTAATTAATAAGCCAAAATATTTGTAGTATTTATTGGTAATTATTTCTGCAAAATCATGTGCTTTGAATTAGAGATCAATTTTACAAACCGGTTTTGACAAAATTCGAAATTCAACTTCCCGTTTAATGATCGGCATAATTCTGGCCAGAATTATAATTGGCAAAATTCTGCCGATCCGTATAACTGCGTATCGAAAATAAATTGGACGATATAGTTTCAATATACTAACCAAATAATTTAGTATTATTTTGAAAGATAAAATTGTACTCTAATTTTGAAATCAAATTGATCATGTCATGCAGAGATATTAATGATCAGGCTAAAAAATAAAAAATTAATGTATTGGACGAAATTAGTCTTTAACCAGTGATTCAATTAATGCAATTTTTAAGCTTTCATTCTCCTCTTTTAAATGATTATAGAATCATATTCATAGCATACATGCATGTCAAATTATTTATAATTTTGCCATAAGAATTAGATTTGATTTTAATTTTAAATAGATGGATCATATTAAAGTCCCTCATTTTACTTTAAATTTTAATAAAATTTTAGAAACAGATATATTAAATTACCATTTGTTAATTTAGAATGTTTGAGTAATATTTATTATGTGAAATTTTAATCTGCCAAGACATTTGCATCAAAAAAATATATAAAAATGCTAAATTAATAAGTTATTACATATATAAGTTCAATAACAAATAGATTTAATAAAATAAATATGCTTAAATTACCAACTAGATGGCAAAATTTGAGGAATATTTTAATATGTAGAATTTTTCAAAAAATAAAATCTCACAACAGTACTTATATCGTGTGATAAATTGAAATGATCGGCAAAGTAATTGCAAATTATCATGTATTTTGAAGAGTAACGAATTATGTATTTTAATAGTTGCACAATTTCCTAACACTCACGTGAATTTAGTTATCCAAAATTTATTAGTAAATTGTGTCACATATCACAACGAAAGCAATGTCCAATTCTATACCAGGAAGTGTAAACTGCAGACACAAAACACCGATCCCAGTGAACTCTGTGTTATAGGACCGGAATGGGGTTATGGGGTGGTCATAACTTAGTACTGCTACGGTGCTACCAAATTCAATACCTTAATGGATTTTCTTTGACTACGCAATCTACAAACGTTTTTGTATGTTATAGGACTTATTTAAATAGAAAAAAAATCTCATGAACTACAGTATAATTATTGTCTTTGATCAGGTTAGTTATCTGATTTATCATTTATAACTCCCAAAAAGCACTGCGCTAAATCCTGATTAAAATTACCGACAAGACATTAATTGATGGAATCAAATCATCATCTCCCAAATCATCTTACTCAGACGTACCTTTAAAAAATAATCAGTCAGGATTTTTTTGACTATTATCTTTTCAACCAAATAGATGATTCCCTTTTTAAATCTTTCAAAGTTATTTTTTTTATTATTACTCTACCTCTCTTCCACTAATTTTGCTTTTCACTTTCCTCGGGCAGTAATTAATTTCTGTTGAAAAGTTCCTTAGCCATTGTTTTAACTGTACTCTGGGTTTGAAATAATCCAGTTCTTGTAAATCAGCTATAAATATGCTTGCAACTTTCTATGAGACATAAACCATTCAAGAAATTTTTGTCTTTTATTTTCTTGTGATATAAGATAAAAAGTTGATATGGGTATTTATTCCTATTGGTACTGCTACAAATACAATACTTTCAAAAAAAAAAAGACAAAAAAGGAAACAAATAAAATCAGCAATTATACAATTACATAAATTAATGAATAAAGAGTAAATGAAAATTAAAAAATTATCATACCTTGGAGGTGTACGAAAAATTCAAAGTTGTACAAAATTTAAAGTTGTACAAAAATAGTTTAAATTTTTGTACGTACTATTATAATATTTATTAGATTTGTAAGCGTACGTACAATCAAAATATAAGGGCATACGTCCAAACTTTCATTAATACCTTTGGATTGGAATAAAGGTGATTCTATTGTCCCTTATTACTAAATTTATGACAAATTTTGAACCTTGATACCGAAAAAAGTCCGGCAGATGATAAATACTCTAATTGCTGCGAAAATTGCGAAGATTTACACTCGCAAACTTCTTTCATAATTTCTGTTTCTTTTAAGTATAAATTCTATTATAAATATAATGTTCTTTCATAAAGTCATCAACGATTAGATCATCTATCATCTATCATTATAATTTTTTTTTATTTATTATTACTTTTGCTTATCTTAAGCATATCATTTTCATTATCCCTCATTCTCTTGTAGAAACATCTCTTTTTTCATGGTGTATAACTGGAAGCTATTTTTCGCGAATACACAGTATATATTGTTCTTTGATGAAATTATTGGTTTAATACTCTTTCTCTGTAAATTCTTTACAACTGAAAAAAAGGATGAATTAAAGAGGTAACATTACGGCATATTATAACACTGCACTTTCCTTGGATATTCTTTTTTTTTTTTTTTAATATTAAATTTGACATCTTTTTCCATGAATCCAATATGACAACTAATCTTACATACTATATATTTCGTTAATAAACACTTTCCAATCCCTAATAGGTACTGTAAGCCATATTTGCTTGAAGAAACTTTGACATTGGGAGGTTTAGTGTGAATACTACTGGATAAGATTGTTAAATTTGAATTTTAGATATAGTGTCGCCATTTCCAAAACTATACTGCAGAGCTGTATCTATAATAAAGAGATTATTTTAAATTTGCAAAATTTTGTGTACATGAAAGCCCAAGCTAAAAACAATATCTAATTGGTCGATAAGCGCGCGGGACAGAAAGACACTGAAGTAATGTACATAATAAAAATACACGAGCACATACTTTTTCTACCAAAATTAAAAGATGAAGTCTAAAATCATGAGTAACATTAAAAATAATCAAAATTAACGGGTACATTTTTGAAGGTTAACTTCGATTTTCATTATTGGCACTGCAAGTGATGAATCCTTTAATAGTTAAATTTCTTTTTACTTTAGTAAAAAAAATTCCATCAAGTGGACTTAACATTTACGTTATGAGAATCTAAGAATAAATCATATTCGGAGATAACAAAATAACATAAAATGTGATGTTAAAAAAATACTCATTTATATAATTAAAAAATTCTTCTGACGTTTAGAATAGATTTCGTGAATTGTGTAAAGTGGAACACGTGATAAGTTGTAAGTTCAAATGGCCATTTGTGTGACTAATCCAATTCCGGTTAATGAGATTTTGACAAATATATCGATATTGGTTTGTATGAATTTCCTCTTCCGATCTTTAAAAAAAAACCGAAAAAAAATATTAAAAAAAAAATTGGTTAAAAAAAAAAATAAAAAAAAAAAGTTTTTTTTAAAACTATTTTTTTTTTTTCCTTTTTCTTTTAAACGACTTTTTTCTTCTTCAACCTTTCCTTTTTCGGGTTTGATTTTTTCTAAAATCAAAAATTTTTTCAAATATTTTTAATTTTCCTTTATAATCTATACTATATTTTTTTTATAATTATTATATATATAAATACTGTATATTATTGTTTATATTGTTTTTCGGTTCCCGCCTTACGTGATCGATATTCGACATGGAATTTACCTAGTGAATTTATTAAGTATGGGCCGCAGTATTATATTTAGTTTAGATACTTAAATTTTATTTTATTTTCTGCGGCCGGAATGACGTTAAACTATCATATGTGTTTGTTTACGAATTATTTTGGTCTATTCATTTGTATATTTATTTGGATTAGTAATATTGAAAAGGATCAGTATGATTATCACAAAGGAAAGAAATGTAGATCAATGGAAATATGAACTACGGAATGATGATCATTGTGATAACAGATAATGACATTGGAATTTAAGAATTTAAGAATTAACATTAACAATGAGAAGATAATTTTATATTCAGGAAACTATATAGAATGTATGAGAATAATTAAATAATTGATAAATATTAGTAAGTGGGAAATTTGATAATATTTTATTAAAAATTTTATTTTGTTCCGATGAGGTATTGAAAATTTATTAATAAGTATGAAATGAGAATTATTATTTACTTAGGGGAAACTATCGAAGTTTGGAATTCAAACGTTAGGATAATAAGAATTTATTAGTGATATTGAGATATTTGGAAGAAGGAGTTATATTTTTATTAGTTTATTTTAATTTCTTTATATTTTATTAGAACTAAGCGTGAACTCGGGATATTAATTAGTAATTATGTATATTTTATTGTTATGAATAAAGAATTATTTTGTCAAGGATGAGATGGAAAACGTGACTTATTACGGGCTCATACCTTACAACATGCAACTATTTTGAAAACGGGTAATAATTATTATTTTTAACGCAGTACAAAATGAGAAAATTAAATTATCTTTTTTGGTAACAAAACATTTGTATTTGTTAATGAATAAGGTAATTTACGCCGCAAGACACGATGATCCGGACAAAAGTATCCAGCCATACCCCTATTGTGATAGTCTCGCTCATCAATCACATGAAAATCCTTCAATAACAAATAATATAAATATATATAAAAATTATTTTCATGTTTAAAAGTCTACTATTTTAAAAAGTAGTTTCTCCCGGTTATTGTGAAAATCATTTAGTTTTTTGTTAATAAAAAACAATGTTTTTGTTGAAAAAAATAATATTAAAACTTTTAATAAAATGGTTTTGTTTGTATTTTGAGATATCTGCTAAATTAATTATAAATACTCCCCTTTTTCGAGTTCGAATTTTTCAAAAAAAAAAAAAAATTAAAATATTTTTTCCTTCTTAAATAATAATAATAAATCATCTAAATCCTTCTCAAAATGGAAACGCAAAGGCAAAATTCCATCAGATATTCAGTCGTTTCGACCACTATTGAAATTTCTAAACATATCGAAATTGGTAAATTAATTGGTCGTAAAGGACGTAACCTAAAACCCATTGCTGAAAAGACTGGTACACATATACATGTGATCGACAACACAAATCCAGCACAGATTGGAATTAAAATAATTAAAGGTAGAGTTGGAAATAGTTCTCCTGGGAAGAGGATCGACGAAGCAAAATTTCAAATTGACAAGTTACTAGAAGATATTGAGACAAGAAATCGAAGAAAAGATATAGAAAAAGAGGAAAAAAATGTTAGAATTTCAGATAATGGTAACCATCAACAAGCAACACCAAGAAATCATAAAGATAACGATCCGAAGGAAAAAAGAAAAAAGTTTAAACGAAAAATGCCGCATACGACCAAAACACGACAAGTAAGATATTTCAAAAATTTATGAATTTGTTAACATTTTATTTGATGATTTTTTTATTAATATAAAATATTCTTCATTCTCCTCCGATAAATGTTTAGTCACGAAATAAGGAAAATGTTAAAAGAAACGTTCCTGTAAACCACATGAATCACAATCAATCCAATTAAACCTTTTTTTTTTTCTTTTAATTTTTATTATCAATTATCAATTATGTAATTTTTTTCATTTTATTATCACTCAATTAAGCATTTATTTTTTATCATTTATTTCAGTCTTCATTATTTATTATTTATGCATTTTTTTTAGTTATAGAAAATATCCTTATATAAACTTTTTTTTTTTAAAAAAAAAAAAATAAAAGAATTCCTAACCAAAATAGGTTAGTATTCAAAAATCAAAAATCAATTAGACACTCTTTTTAGTATTAACAAAGGATCGGTTCTCATTATTAGATTTCCGTTCTGGAACGTTATTTTTCAAGTAAGTGAAATTATTAAGTACGTGAAGTTACTAGATTATTCTTTAAGCATCTGGTACTNCAAGAAATCATAAAGATAACGATATGAAGGAAAAAAGAAAAAAGTTTAAACGAAAAATGCCGCATACGACCAAAACACGACAAGCAAGATATTTTAAAAAAAAAAAATAAAAGAATTCCTAACCAAAATAGGTTAGTATTCAAAAATCAAAAATCAATTAGTCACTCTTTCTAGTATTCACTGAGAAAAATGTTTCATCATAACGAAATTCAATTTCGTCACTAAGTAGTTAAAGCCGCTCCTTAAAATCTCCTTTCTTTAGAAGTATTATATTATATTGATTTTTTTGTTTCGTGAGTCTCATATATTTTTTTACGTTAAAAAAAAATTGTTTTCATTATCTAGTAATATATAACTTAATACCCACATTTTAAGAAATAAAACATAGGTATATCAAGTGTTTGGTCTGCTGGTCACGTAATTGGCGAGAGAAAGCTTGAAATCATGTGATTATTTAATATTAAAATATAAGTGGAAGCAAAGTCTTTTTGAAAGCTTACTACTTAAATCATTAGGATGTATGTGTTATAGTTGGGTATAGCGGAGATGGTGGTAATGGCTTTGCATTATCTGATTAATTTCATCAAGTTTTTTTTTTATGTTGACGTTCAAATCACTGCAAAATTTTTTCCTGTGATCCTTGCATAATCTGGCGAGGGTATACTAAAATCAATACAGTATAAAGTGTATAACTAAATGCGAAAATTACTATGACATATAATTTTTATGATTATTCCTGCGCTGAGCTTTCTTTTTTATATTCTAATTAATGTGATTCCGATTCATTATTAGATTTCCGTTCTGGAACGTTATTTTTCAAGTAAGTGAAATTATTAAGTACGTGAAGTTACTAGATTATTCTTTAAGCATCTGGTACTAACATTTAGATTCCGGAAAAATTAATTTCTGAAAGCGTAGTAGCCGTAGTACCGATTAAACTTCTAGAAGATTCTTCAATAATGGATGATCCTTTAATCGTAGCAATGATCTTCTGAAGGTGTAACAAATAATTAGCTTCTAGATGATCCTTTAAGTGTGAATTACTTTTTTTTTATTTTAAACATTTAATCCTTTAGAAATACGTCAAATAATATTCAACAATTGGATTTTATCATAGCAATAATATTATTAAATTTCGAAATATAATTCCTTGTTATTTTAGAGATAAATTATTACTTTTTTTTTTTAAAAAAAAAAAAAAATTATTCGTGAATTGACAATGTTACACAAAACAGAATTCGAAGATCGTTTCATGGAATTTCCTTTTTGTTGTATGAATATAGTAAGTAATTCATTTATCGTCCCCGCGTCATTCTTTTCGGACAATGATCTCCGTTATTTGAATATCTTTTAACAATAAACATTACAATAACATTTAATACGTAATTGAAAATTTAAACAAATACAAAATAAATATAAATAAATAAATAAATAATATACTTTTGCTTTTGTTAAAAGAAAAGATGATTTTCATTATAAATATACCCTTCGTTACTTTTTATTTTAACATAGTTGGATAAAAAAAAAATAAAAAATAATTTTAAATTTCTTTTCACTTTCTTTACAAAATGTCAAAACAAATTCAAAAATTATCAATTTCGATCCCTCAAAATGTTGAGATCGGTAAATTAATTGGTCGTGAAGGACGTAACCTAAAACCCATTTCAGAAAAAACTGGTACCTATATTTATATTGATACAAAAATAAATCCTGCACAAATTAAAATTTATATTAATAAGAAAAAAGAAAATCCTCCATTTGAAAATAAAATTAATGATGCAAGAAATCAATTAAATAATTTGATGAAAAATATTTGTCAATATAAAACTCATTCTTTTAAACATAATGAACAAGTCAAGTATAGATCACCAGTTAAAGAAAAAGAGAAAACGGAAACTTCATCGATAACAGCAAATATAATTAACGAAGATTTACCAGAAAAATTTTCACAAACCATTTTTAAAGAGAGACGTAATAAAGATATGATTAAAAAATTACCAATTTCCGATGATCGAATGTGTTGGTATGGGGCTAATTGTAAAAAAAATTTTTGTAGATTTAAACATCCACAATATATTATAGATCATCACTTAATATTAAAATATAAGAAAGAAATTGAAACAAAAAAACATAAAAGAGATTTTAAAAAGGAATCTAGAATTTTTTTACATAAATATAGAAATAGAGAATTATTAAAAAAATTTTTATAAAGGTATGATAATTATAATATATATTCACTTTTGGGATTACTTTATATAATATTTCAATTTTTAAATTTTTTTTAGTTAAGGAAAATATGAATTTATAATATAATAAGTTATATCTATTAAGCATTTAATTAAAATTATTAATAGAATTTTTTATTTTTTATTTTATATTCTTAATGGAATAAACAAATTAAATATGATAAATATAAATAAGAATAAATTACATCAAATACGTACTTTTTTTTGCAGTGACTCCTATAGATATATTTTGTAATATTTATAATTATTCGATCACGTTAAATTTTTTTTTTTTTTTAAAAAAAAAAAAGTTGCAATGCATTTCTTTAT